GGAGGGGAGGGCGTCGAAAGGAAAGACACAGTGGTTAAGAGAAATAGCATTTACTAAAAATGAAGGAAATAAGGAGGCGTACAAATGATTTGCGCCGTGAGAGAGACAAGCAGGAAGCGAGCGAGAGAGAGATAGATAATCGAGCAAGTACTTACACGTCGGCTTCGCAGTAGCCTAGAGCTCGCTTCCGAAACGCACGAATATTCGGCCTCGGGGCAGCCTTCTTGACACGATCAACAGCTTGTCAGCACGCACGCACACAGCACACAGTCCGCAGGATGCATTTCGGTGCCACGGTCTTTCACGCGGTCGCGCACACTCTGCACTCTCGGTACCTAACGACAAAAACGCAGGCTACGTAGCACAAAGGCATCTACCGATTGCGCGTTGACGGCTAGGCTTGCGTTCCTCGTGGCAGCGGGCAGTTAATTGTTCTTTGCACGCGGAAGAGGTCCCCCTCTCTCTCCTTGGTTATTCGGCAGCGGCGCGCCTCAGCCAATTAGGCAACGCGCGGGACACTCATGCGTCCACGCACTCTGGCATACACGCGGTTTTCTCTCTCTCTCTGCTCGGCGCTCTCTCACTTACCACGTACAGCGTCAGGAGCTGCGGCTAGGTAGGGAAGGATACATAAAACAGTTATTGATAAATTACAATTGACTTAAGGGAAGAGAGAGACATAACGAAACTCAACTCGTTATAATATATATATCCATCTCTCAACATTTCTGTAGGCACCGCCAATGTTTTAATTCATACTTATGTAATAAGACTCTACCAATGACGAAACTTTCTTATAGTAGTGTCTGAATTTTCTTACGCTTAACTTTTGGAACGAACATATATTTGATAACGCAAGAATCGATGAAAAAAATTATCATATATTGAAATCTTAGTAGATAAAAATATAGAAATGCAATTTTTGATAATTGCAATTATCTCTCCTAATGACTCATTTGATATGGTAATAATAAATGAGTAACTTCTAAGCTTGAGATGAGAACCGAATAAAAGTTCAAGGGAAACTAATTGTCGGTACTATCCGGTCGATTCAGACAGAACTTGAAATTAACATATGTTGTTTTCCCTAAGCCATTCCATACGTAACGAAAATATTGCAATACACTCTTATGCAATGAGGATCCACTATTCGAGTAATATTCTTCAATATTACAGGAACATGAATACATGAAGCCGTGTATAGCATCTGCAATTTTCCTGTTGATCTTCGGTCGCAATGAATTAAACTGCTATATTTGTATTGATGTTCACAAAGTAAAGTAAATAATACTTCTACCTCCTTTTACATAACCAGATAATGCAGATATTTCCTTCCCATAGAGAAATTTCTTAATAGTAGTCTCTAAAATACTTCACACATGAATCCTTGAACAAACAGATAGTTAATTACGAACAAATATTTAGTTAGAATGCATGGTAAACACAGTCATACTTTCAAATCTTAGCCGTAATATAAATAATAAAATACAAAGTTTGATATGTTGTCCCAATATCTCCATTAATATGGCATTATCAAATGACTAACTTCCTTTTATCGTGAGTGAATCTAATTCTAATACTGAATATAGTTATTTCGTTAATGAAACTAAATGTCCGGTCGAATAACTATCCAGTCGACCAAGACAGAGCTTAACTTATATCGTTCACGCTAAGCCATTGCGTATATACCCTAAATATTCTAGTACGCACTCGTTTAATAAGAATCTACTTACAAAGTAACCTTCTGCATCATCGCAGGATCGCGTTAGTAGCCGTGATGGCTCTATGGATCCAGAAATTTCTCTTCCGATTATCGGTCGCAGTCAATTAAATTACCATACCAGTATTGGTTGTTATGAAGTATAATAAAAATGACATTTTCTACCACTGTGTTCCATAACCGGATAATGTGGACATTCCCTTTCCTTACAGAAATTCCTTTATAGTAGTATCTCAATTCCTTCATGCTTGGTTCCTGGAACGAACAAATATTTAGTTATGCAAGAATGCACGAAATACACTGTCATAGTTTCAAATTAAGTGGTAAAAACATATAACATAATCCTTGATAAACTTTTCTAATATGACAAAAAATATGGTAGTATTAAATGAGTACCTTCCTGTAAGTTTATGATAAGAATAAAATAGAGGCTGTATGGAAACATCTCGAGCTAAAGGTGAGTACTCATAAAGTACATATATTCCTACCGAGAGCTAGCCTCAAGAAGATAGCTATTTAATGAATAAAATCAAATAACATTTAATCGATCAAGACAGTACCTGAAGTTGACTTATATTGTTCACCCTGAACCATTCTGTACGTAACGTAAATATTTCAATACGCTCTAACGAAATAAGGATCTATGTTAAAGTAACTATTTCATAATTATAGATAGAATTCTATAAATTAACGCTGTGTCACCCTGACAATTTCCCTTTCGATAATCCATTAAAATCGATGAAAATGCAATATCTGCATTAATGTTCAGGAAGTACGAGGTGTGTTCAAAAAGTACCCGGAATTATCGTATTTCCAAAAAAATATTTATTTATTCGTTTACATCAATGTCGTCCCCTTCAAAGTAATCCCCCCAGATATAATACACTTATACCAGCGTTTTTTCCAATCTTCGAAGCACTCTTGATATTCACTTTTTGGTATGTCCTTGAGCACTCTCAGCGATTCGGCCTTTATTTCTTCAATCGAGGAAAAACGCCGCCCTTTCATGGGTCTCTTCAACTTTGGGAACAGGAAAAAGTCACACGGAGCCATATCTGGTGAATATGGAGGTTGGGACACGACTACGGTATTATTTTTGGCCAAAAAATTATGAACAAGCAACGACGAGTGAGCAGGTGCGTTATCGTGATGCAAAAGCCATGAATTGTTTTTTCATAAATCGGGGCGTTTTTTTCGGATTGCTTCACGCAAACGTCGCATAACTTCAAGGTAATACTCCTTATTAACCGTACGACCTTGTGATAAGAACTCATGATGCACCATGTTTTATCTTGAAAGGTTCACCTCTGAAATGCCGTAGGTGACATTCCAGCAATTTTTTATCGAAAGGAATTGAAAAGGAAATGATTTTAATGAAACAACTTAATTTCGCGTGATCTGACCCTTAAGTTTACAAATGAATCAACCTTTAAGGTTTTGATTCAAAACTGGTCCCTATGGTTTGTTAATGTAGCACTGGTAAAAAATAAACAACACTATTTTTTTGTGGGAAAAAAGCCTTTCGGCATAAAAAAACCCAATTTATTAAAATAATACAGATTGGATAAATTCGGATGAATTTGAATGTAAGGATAATAGAGTGACGCCGCACATAGTGACACGCACAAATGTCGCAATTATTTTCGCAAGATACTACCACGTGTTCATATAAATTCTACGCGTGCGGGCGCGGATGTTTTTCGCACACACATTCACACACTAGATAAATGTTGCTGGTAATATCGATTGTACCACACAAAGATAATTATAGAGAGAGATGAATTTAGCTTGATATCGGTGATATCATACAAAATGAAAATAAGATTGACAAGACTGATGAAATCAGCATGATATCGGTGATATCATACAAAGGCAATAGTAGATAGAGGAAAGGGTTCGTAGATTACTACCTGTAATCACCGCGTGGCAAGGGCCACTAATTTGTTGTTGTTATAGATAGTAAACACTAGATTTGCGCAATACGTTGTTTTGCGTCTTTGATATTGTTAGTCGTTGACGATTTTAGTTATCACGATCACAAATGGAACCGGATTACGTTGAATTTCACGGATGCAAACGAATGTAAAAATTCGCGATAGCCCTGCACGCAATGGCCGCTCGAGCTATACTGACTACGTGCTCGCGGTTAAATTGGCGCGAACTCATCAAAAAACCGCGAAAACATGCGCAGTTGGTGGCGCCATCTCCCGCAGTTCTCACTCAAGCTCGGGTCTCACGCTCACACATATACACACATATGAGACGATGGAACATACTCCCGGCGGACGCTGCGAAATAGAAGTTAGACTTAACCTATGAAGCAGATTACGCTAATAATACAATGAAGTTATAGATAAATACAGAGGATTCTTAATTCAAAAATGACTAACGCAATCACAGAACGATAACATATTTACAACTTAAGCTAGTTAGCAACTAGAATCTTTGGTTACTTGTGAACGGACTAGACAAGTAGCGACAAACATTTTCCGTTGGAGGGAATGTTTGATTGATTAGGTTGATCACATATCGGGATTAAGCTAGATTGAACAAAGATAATGTCTTTATAACAAAACGTACAACTACTCTAAATACAACAATTGCACGATAGGATTCGAAGTCTCAACTTCCCCAGGATCCAATGTACCGGATTAGATATCACGAACCAGAAGTTACCCTTCTGGCCTTCTGGCTGTAGAACTCTCTGAGTTCTACCATTCTCGGACCAGGCTTCATCGCTCTTCCAGAATACGCCGTAGCTCGACTCGATTATGGCAAGCCAAAGCGCGCACATCTGGGGCGTTCCTTTCATCGATCATACCCCCTGAAGTTGTTGAGACTTTAAAAGAGGCGGATCATCTTGAACCACCGGCAACACGCAGAGTCGAGTGATATTGCGTTTATATACGCCTGAGGAAGTCTTCACAGACGCAACCCGAGCGATGCTGTCACTCCCAGGAAAGACCTCGAGGACCACTCCCAGTGGCCATTCTGCGCAATGTGTGAGATCGTCCATGAGAAGGACGATCATTCCAGGTTGGAGTGTCGAGTTGGAGGTTTGCCATTTTTGCCGAATCTGAAGTTCGTGTAAATACTCCTTATGCCATTTGTTCCAAAAGTTCTGACGGGCCTTGATCAAGAACTTGGAGGTGGAAAGACGATTATCTGGAACTGATAAAAGAGATTTTTCGGGTAAGACATTTATAGGTCTACCGATTAAAAGGTGAGCTGGAGTAACTGCTAAAGGATCATTCGGATCGGCGGAGAGAACACAAAGAGGTCACGAGTTTAAGATCGCTTCAATTTTTATCAGAAAGGTTTCTAGTTGCTCATAAGTGAGCTGTTGATTTAGGACGCGCTTCAAATGATGTTTGAAGCTCTTAACGGCCGCTTCCCAAAGACCCCCATAATGTGGTGATAAAGGAGGGTTGAAGTGCCACTCCACACGTTTCGCAATCCTATTTTCTCCCACTTGTTTGCGGAATTCCGGGCTTTCTAACAAATCGTAGAGTTCCTGAAGCTCACGATTTGCTCCCACAAAATTGGTACCGTTGTCAGAATACATGTGACTAGGGAGACCTCGACGACATATAAAACGATCAAAGGCATCTAAGAAACCTTGAGCGGATAAATCGAGAGCTAGTTCGATGTGAACGGCCTTTGATGCTAAGCATACGAAAACACAGCCATACACCTTGAGGAAGGACTTATTACGATGAGCTTTCTCCTTGATGAGAAGTGGACCAAAGAAATCGACCCCTGTACGATCAAAGGCAGGGGATTCTGAAACTCGAGGCTCCGGCAAATTTCCCATTTGCGCATGAGCTATCGGTGGTTTTTGACGAATGCAATCTACGCAACGTCGAATGACTCTCCTAACTTGATTTTTTCCATTCAAGATGAAAAATTTATTGCGAACAGCATAGAGAGTGGTTGAAATACCAGCGTGAAGGTTGGAAAGGTGAGTCGGACGAATAATCAAGTCTGTAATATGATGGTTCTGAGGCAAAAGAATCGGATGCCTTTGATTGTATGGAAGCTGAGACTTGTTTAAACGTCCACCCACACGGATAACCTTATCGTCTCCTATGAAGGGAGCCAAGTTATCGAAACTAGTTCCCCGTTTGAAGGAATTAGAAGTTTGAGACAATTTACGAAGCTCATTGGGAAACCTTTCTTGTTGCATCGACTTAACGATGCTAATTTCGGAAGCCATGACTTCCGACGGAAGAAGGGGATGAACTAACTGAAGAATTTTCTTCATCCTGATTGAAGATTCTTCGACGTCGGGAAACAATTGAGTTGTCTTACCTTGATCACGAGACCTTTGTCTCCATCGAAGAACATATGCTATTACTCTAGTCAATCGACCGTAGACGGAGAAACGTGAATAGATTTCGCTGAATGATGAACTTGGCGTTATCAACAGACACACTCCTTTCTAAAGATCAGGAAGCTCTTTAGGAGAAGTTTCAACGGATTTGGGCCATTCTTGTGAAGGCAGGGAAAGCCAAGATGGTCCTGAAGTCCAAAATGAGTTGTCTAGAAAGTCGGCTGGTAGTTGTCCTCTAGAAAGGGCGTCTGCAGGGTTGTCCTCTGAACGGACGTGTCTTCAGGAAACTTGTTCACCTAACGTTTGAATATCAGCAACCTTATTGGATTCGAAAACTCTGAGGAGATAAGGAGCATTTTTCAACCACGCGAGAACAATAGTGGAATCAGACCAAAAAATTGTTTGATCAATTGGGAAATCGAATTGAGACTTAGTATCGACGTAAAGTTTTTTGAGAACGGAAGCAGCGCACAATTCCAATCGAGGGATTGTCACGCCGCTCACGGGAGCGACTCGAGATTTACTACAAACTAAGCGAATTATCACGTTGTTTGAGGAGTCTACAGATTTCAAGAACAAGCAGGCACCATAACCGTAGTTGCAGGCATCACAGAAGCCATGAAGTTCAATCCTAGTTGGATTTGGAATTAAAAATTGACGAGGAAACGAGACCTGTTTCAGAAATGGTGATTGAAGAACAAAGGATTTCCATTTGGTATGGATATCTTGAGGAAGTGATTCGTCCCAGCCAACCTTGGCCTTCCAGCAATCCTGAATCAAGGTTTTGGCAAACAATACGACCGGTCCTAATAAACCTAAAGGGTCAAATATCTTTGAGATTTCAGATAAAAGCTGTCTTTTGGTTGAAGTAGCTTGAAGATCGATACAACTCACAGAATATTGCAGGATGTCCCTTTGAGAATCCCACACGACACCCAAAGTTTTCTGAATGGGATCTTCTCTGACAACACAGTCAAGATCGAACACCTTCTTGTCAATGGTATTCAAAGCAGATAGATGATTTGAAGCCCATTTTCGAATGATGAAACCACCTCGACGCAACAAAGTTATCATTTCATCACGAATTGCCAAAAGTTCTTCAAGAGTATTTAAACCAGAAATAAAGTCGTCGACATAAAAGTCACGAAAGAGTAATTTACTAGCTCTTGGAAAATCTCTGGCCTCGTCACGAGCAAGTTGTTGAATGGTGCGAATTGCAAGGAATGGAGCTGCAGCTACTCCAAAGGTAACTGTATTGAGTTGGAAGGTCTTGACCTCTCCTTTATGATACCAGAGAATCCTTTGGTATTTTCGATCATCGGGATGAATTAAAATCTGACGATACATCTTTTCGATATCGGTAGTGATCACAAAAGAGTGAGTACGAAAACGAAGAACTTGTTCAAAAATAGTGTTTTGTATAGTTGGGCCTACAATGAGCGTATCATTGAGAGAAATGCCCGTAGAAGTTTTAGAAGAAGCGTCGAAAACAACTCTAACCTTAGTAGTCTCACTAGATTCTTTTACGACTGCATGATGGGGTAGAAAATAACCATCTTGGTTATCCTCACAAAGAGTCATGTGACCCAGAGAAATATACTCATCCATCACCTTGGAATACTCAATCTTCAGCGACGGATTCTTAGCAAATTTTGCTTGGAGGGAATCGAAACGTTTGAGACCTTGAGACTTAGAATTACCCAAATCAAATTTGGAGTCTCTGAATGGAAGACGAACGATGTAACGACCAGAAGAATCACGTTGGGTGTGAGTAATGTAATGTTGTTCACATGCAACCTCGTCACGAGATTTATTGGGCTCATGATCAAGGTCTTCGATCAGCCAGAAACGTTCGAAGAGCTTATCTAACTTAACCATGTGACAAGACGTAGAACTATAAGATGACTGGTCAATGCTCCCACCAGCTACAATTCATCCTAAACTCGTCTTTTGCAAAATGATCTCGGAATTTTCCCGTTGGAGTTTAATCTGACCAACGGCTAGAACTGATAAGGTGACACCGGATGATAGCAAAACATCAATGGACTTGGGCAAATGAAACTGAGGATCTGCTAGTTTTATGTTTTTGGGGATGTCGAAGAACTCACGTGGAAAAACGTCGTTAGGCACGGCTTCGGCAATCTTTGGAACTATTAAAAGTTGAATTTGTTGAATATGGTCGTTATATTTAGAGTGGATACTAGCTTGAATGTACCTTTGTGAAACAGTGCCTAAACCATCAACTGCTCCAATGCTGACTGAACAGGGAAACTCAGACAAACGCAAAGATTTTGCAAAATTTTCGGTAATTAAATTTACAGTTGAACAAGAATCTAATAAAGCGCGTGCCACAACAAGATTACCCCGATTGTTTTTGACCTTGACCACAGCTGTAGTCATCAATTGTGACTCTGAAGGAAAAGCCACTGAAGTAAGTGTGCGTTGAACTAGTCAACTCGAAGTATCGGTGGGAGTGGAGGATTTATTTCCACTTGGTTTGGACATACTAGTATTATGGAGAAGAGTGTGGTGTCTTTTGCCGCACTCTTTACAAGTTTTCGTGCTACCACACGGGAATTTATGGGCCCAGAGACAATTGAAACAAAGCTTGTTATTCTTCGCGAAATCCCAGCGTAATTGAACGTCAAGAGATTTGAAAGCTTCGCATTTGAAAAGTTGGTGCGAACCTTTACATTTGGGACACACCAGAGGAGTCCGAGCCGTTGGTGTTGACGAAGTCGACGGCTGAGAGAGCGTGGTGGCGGAAGAGGTGGCAGTGGTTTTGGAGCTTTTTGAAGCTCGTTGAGGATTAGAAGCAGCGGGTCGCTTTTTCGAGTTAAATTGATAAGCATTGGATTCATCAAAAGCTTCTTGCTTGAAAATGGCTCTCTGGATGAATTTGAACAAAAAGTCCAACGATAGTAACTCATTGACATCTAACTTGTCGTTCCAACGACCATAAAGATAAGGAGGGAGGCGTCTTTCAATACAACGAACCACCAGGTCCTCGCCATAATTTACATCGAGGCGTTTGAGGACGTTAATATGTTGCCGAGCCGAATCGTACAATTCAGAAAGAGTGACCTCCTTTTGGTCCTTGTGCTTTCCGACCTTTGGAAGATCAAGTACGGCATTCAGATGCCGAATGGCTACGATACGCTTGTAAAAATCGTAAAAATCGAGGAGAGCTCGCCACGCATTGAGATAATCTTCCGCATTCATCTCATACTCATCGATCTTAGCGCGGGCGCTGCCTATCACGCTCGTGAATAGGTAATGAGCCTTAGCATCATTGGAGAGTGCATTTTGATTGTGAACAAGAGCGGTAAATTGGCTCTTGAAAGAAGCCCACTTCGCGCGAGAACCGTCAAACTTTCCGTACGAGAACCGTCAAACTCGCTCGTAATTGTTGTTCGCTTACAGTGATATTTGTGGCAGTCATAGTAGAATTAGCTAACGGGTTGGGTAATGGTCGTGGTTGGTGAGCGTCATTGTACAGTTTGGTTACAATAGTAGCAGTGTCATAGTATCGAGTGGTCAGATTGTCAAATGAGATTATGAGTTCATTTTCTGGGTCAATGTTAATCAGTTCGTCGATGAGATTCACCAGTTCGGTTCTTTATGTCATCAAGTTAGTGAGTCGTAGATTGGCAGTAATAGCGTCTGGGTCAACAGTAACGTAAGTCGCTAGAGCATTCACTCCCCTTTCAAAGGTTTGGTATTTCGCTGCGATGAATTTCGCTCTAACGATTTGAGCTGCGGCTGGAGCCATGACGAGAGATTTTTAATTTATTTTAATGGCCGAAAGAAATAAATTACCGTCTCGAAAAACAATAAGTTATCGACAAGCGAACACGAGATTTAAGTAATTAACGAATAAATGAATTTCAAAAGGCGCGCTGATTCTTAGAAACTATGATTAAGTTAAAGGAATGGAATGATTCAAATACATAGAAGATAAAAAAAAAGGGAGAGAACAAGAGTCTTATCATAATTGGGATCCTGTCCCTCGATGCAGAGACCACTGGGCGGCGAGGCTTCCTTGGATGGGAGTGACAGCTGGACGTTGATAAGATGACTACGTCCTTGTTCAACGTAATCGGCGACCAGTTGACAAAGTGCTCAGAGGTGGCGTATTCGCCAGTCTTTTAGTCCAATAAAACACAGCACGAACTGCACAGTTATGCAATGTTCGGTACGCATGCGCGTGTCAACTTATGTGTGGATGACGTCACTTCCTAACAAAGGATGAGGTTATGTTCAACCTTACAGGAGGCACCATGTTTTGTCTTGAAAGGTTCACCTCTGAAATGCCGTAGGTGACATTCCAGCAATTTTTTATCGAAAGAAATTGAAAAGGAAATGATTTTAATGAAACAACTTAATTTCACGTGATCTAACCCTTAAGTTTACAAATGAATCAACCTTTAAGGTTTTGATTCAAAACTGGTCCCTATGGTTTGTTAATGTAGCACTGGTAAAAAATAAACAACACTATTTTTTTGTGGGAAAAAAGCCTTTCGGCATAAAAAAACCCAATTTATTAAAATAATACAGATTGGATAAATTCGGATGAATTTGAATGTAAGGATAATAGAGTGAGGCCGCACATAGTGACACGCACAAATGTCGCAATTATTTTCGCAAGATACTACCACGTGTTCACATAAATTCTACGCGTGCGGGCGCGGATGTTTTTCGCACACACATTCACACACTAGATAAATGTTGCTGGTAATATCGATTGTACCACACAAAGATAATTATAGAGAGAGATGAATTTAGCTTGATATCGGTGATATCATACAAAATGAAAATAAGATTGACAAGACTGATGAAATCAGCTTGATATCGGTGATATCATACAAAGGCAATAGTAGATAGAGGAAAGGGTTCGTAGATTACTACCTGTAATCACCGCGTGGCAAGGGCCACTTATTTGTTGTTGTTATAGATAGTAAACACTAGATTTGCGCAATACATTGTTTTGCGTCTTTGATATTGTTAATCGTTGACGATTTTAGTTATCACGATCACAAATGGAACCGGATTACGTTGAATTTCACGGATGCAAACGAAGGTAAAAATTCGCGATAGCCCTGCACGCAATGGCCGCTCGAGCTATACTGACTACGTGCTCGCGGTTAAATTGGCGCGAACTCATCAAAAAACCGCGAAAGCATGCGCAGTTGGTGGCGCCATCTCCTGCAGTTCTCACTCAAGCTCGGCTCTCACGCTCACACATATACACACATATGAGACGACGGAACACACCACGGCCCTGCAGTCAAAGAAAACTGTAAGCAAAACCTTCACATTTGATCGAACTTGACGTGCTTTTTTTCGCTCTTGGTGACGTTGAATGTTTCCAGGTGGACGATTGTGCTTTGGTTTCGACATCATAACCGTACACCCATGTTTCATCACCAGTTTTGACCCTTTCAAGCAATTGGATCGTCGTTGATGTCGTTTAACAGCTGTTGAACGATGTTCATGCGATTGTTTTTTTGGTCAAAGTTCAGCAGTTTTGAAATGAATTTTGCTGCCACCTGTTTCATGCCCAAAACATTTGAAAAAATGTTATGACATGAGCCAATTGATATGCCAACTTCATCAGCAACTTCTCTAATTGTGATTCGGCGATCATTCAGAACCATTTTTTCCACTTTTTTCACATTTTCATCGATTGTTGACGTGCTGGGTCGACCGGAGCGTTCGTCATCTTCAACATCTTCGTGGCCATCTTGGAAATGCTTATACCACTCGTAAACACTTGATTTTTTCATAGCAGACTCACCATAGGCTTTTTGTAACATTTCACACACTTTGTTAAACTTTATTTCATTTTTTACGCAAAATTTAATACAAATTCTTTGATCTATTTCTTATAAAAAACGAAAATCGCCGAGCTCATAAAAACACGTCAAACCTTAGCGACTACCGCAGACAAAGTAAACAGTGAATATAGCTGAAAATTTTATCATACTTCAGGGGCATGTATACCAACACAATAAAAAAAAATTTTGACAATCGGACTCTCCAGACCCGCTAAATTTAAAAATTCCGGGTATTTTTTGAGCACACCTCGTATAATAAATGAAACTTCCTATTTTTGTCTTTGGTGTCAGGATAATGCAGACATTTCTTTCTCTTACAGAATTTTCTTTATAATAGTTCTGAATTTCTTTCGCATGAATCCTGCACAACGATTACAGATTTACTAACGTAAGACTCAATTATAAATTATTATTAATTTCAAATCTCAGTAGCATAAATATAGAAGTACAATAACTAATGCTGTTCTAATGTTTCTATGTCTCTATTTATAAGGATATATCAAATAGGGAACACCTATGTCTGACAAGGGAACATTCTCGACCCTCTGTCTTCGATTTTACTACAAATTGGATATGTTATAGCTTGTTGAATTGATAAAAAATGAAAGATAAATGTTTCTTTTAATCTTCGAAAAAAGTTTTCTAAATGGTGAAAGCCACCCTCGAAAATTACCCCTCATAGTTTTTTTCTAGTGTTATTTTTGGTTTCAATTAATATTTTTTAATGAAGCAAAATCGAAGTCAATTGCTTTTTTCTAATCAAATTTCTTCCATTTGCGAAATAATACGAGCGCAGTATCACAATGTGCTGCAACTTTCTTTCTCTCCTTCTTTCTCTCTCTTTCTAACCTGGCTCGATTGTGATTAGGGAGCGACAATAGCAAATAGTATGAATGCTTCTAGTTGGCCCTTTTGTATAATTAACTTGATTTTAAAACGAGTGAAAAAGTTTATGGTCTTTTAGTGAAATTATGATTTTCAGTCTACGTAATCATAGCCGACAATACGAATCAAAGTGTGCGACTTGAGAGAGAGAGAGAGAAAGGGAGACAGATATAGATAGATAAATAGAGAGAGAGAGAGAGAGAGACAGACAGACAGACAGAGACAGAGAGAGACAGAGACAGAGACAGAGAGAGAGAGAGAGAGACAGTGAGAGTAGATATTTATTATATACGAATACGTGTACGATTTTGGTCAGTGAATTTTGGAAATTAATGCACGTGTTAATTAAAACGCAGTAAGTTTTGTCGATAATAATAAATTCTATGTTGAGACCAATTGTGTGACTGAATATATTCTATATAAATTCAATAGAAGCGCGCATTTACTAGTAAGCTACGACGGTCAATATCAGCAAACAAGAAGCCGATCAGTGGCGAACATAGTCGAACGTCGCCGTAGTACCTAGTATTCACTTGAGTATTTACGTGCATGAGAAATAGTATACTGCAGTATAAAATGATACAATAATTAATTTAATGGAATATACTAAATAGTGCAACAGTCAATTAAATAAATATTATTTTTGTTTAAAAATGTGAAATATCAATCGTTACATTTTGATAGTTTGATTTTTTTAGAAAATAAAATCCAAAGATTGGACAAAATTGTTGTATAAAATAATAAATCAATTGTAAATTAATTGTAATGGTTTGAAGACATATGAATGTGTCTACATTTTTTTACTAGCAGATCTATTTGGTAATTAAAAGAGTAATTTAATTATTTTATTTTGAAAACAAGCAAATGTCTGACTCACGTATGTGAGAAAAAACTCGTTTTATTAATGCAGTTGCTCCATTAATGTCGTTATGTTAGCGAACAATAAACGATAACAATTGGTAAGACAATTTTAGCGTATAAATGAGTCACAAAATTGATTGATTAATCTGTTAATTATACTATTACTAATATATACTAATATAATATACTAATATTTAATTAATAGATTAATCACACAAGTGTTATTGTCATAATTAACATAATTAGTTTAAATAATAATAACAAATATATAAGCACGTAGTTGCATGTAAATAAGGTTTTGAAATTTGAGTGCACGCGAGTAGGGCAAAATTGTACTGAGTTAATACCTTAATTGTATTTATGAAAAATAAAATTAATTAATAACGATAGTAGTAAAATGACAGATGTAAATAGCAATAGAAAATTGTACACAGTCAGCAGCAGAACGACTACAGGAGTAATTATAAAAACTGGAACAACAGACAAACGGTAACAAGTTTTCAAGAGTAGGCCGAATGCAAATATTAGAGCTGTTAGGAGAGCATTTAGTTATGGATTTTGAACAAATCACAGGAGACATAGTTCAATAAGAAAACCAGTACTGAGATCGCAATTCATAACTTCAATCTCCTCCAAAAA